TTTGTTTCATTCGCTCTTTCAGTGTATCTCGGTTTTTATCTAAAAATCCCTCCACATTGTACTGAACGTCCGCAGCATAATGCCGAATGATGAAATGGTTATCGACAGCACGCCCAGTAGCCCGTAAAAAATGTGCGTTTCCACTCTTGCCCTTTGTGGGTGCAAACTTCTCCATAAGTTTGTGAAGATAACTTGTTTCGTTCCCACTCACGGCGCACTCTTCGTCAAGGAGTGTAAAAACACCAACCTTTCCCATGAGCAACTCAACACACTCTTTATTGTCAGCAAACGTCACATGTGTTGTGTCAATTCCTTCATTCTGGCATTCCTGCATGTCCAATGTGAAAATATGCTGATTGTAATGACCCTGAAGAGCCTCATTCGCCAAATTAATACACAACTGTTCAAAACTGTTCTTTTGAAAATTTTCAAAACCAAAAATATCAAGAAGACCTATCCAATGCGTTGTAACGGCCTCCCGGTTAGTGGTTTGATTAATCTTCAATACAAGCCAATCAAATAACCACACATACAAGCTTTTACAGACCGAATCCCTCATATCCAGTGCCTTCACTTTGTTCAAGGGTTTCACCGTCTGCTCTTTTTGAGTAACGATACACGTGGAAATCAACTCCTTCATAAATTCTTCCTCATTGATTCCCCACAGCTGACAGGCACGGGCCAAAACCGGTAAAAGATTTGAATCCATTCTTGCAATAAGTCCAGCACGCTCTTCGGACTCCACAAAGTCCGTATTTTGAAGAAATACAACTCCCGCAACAACACTCCAAATCGACATTTGCTCTTCTTCTGTGATGCCTACATCACCCATCGCCTGTCTCGTGGATGCATACTCTACGGCATCATCTACACCATCGATATTAATGCATTCTCCGGCATTAAGGATTCGATACACTTTCGGGTTCCTCAATGAAAATTCCTTCGCTAACGGCCCCTGCACAAGTTGATAAAATGAATGGTACACACGCTCCCCTGTGGCGGCACCAATAATTCTCGACTTTTCCAACAAGTACTTCGTCGCATGACACCCCACCAAAATGCCATGTTTATCAAATTGAACTCGTAAGAATTTCCCAAAACGAGAACTGTTATCATTTCGGATCGTCTTTGCATTTCCAAAACTTTCAAGAATCGGTGATGACGCCAAAACACGTTTGTTGATTTGTATGGAAAGTTCTCGATCCTCCGGTGTTCCATTTTTCGTACTTAATGCAGCCAAATACTTCAATACAATCTTTGCGGCTTCCGTCTTTCCCGCCCCACTCTCTCCACTGATGAGAATTGTCTGATTTCTACCACTCTCTCGCAATTCCCGGTAGGCGTTGTGCGCTGTGGCCCACGGATGGGGTAAATTCTTCTCGATAACAGAGCCCTCGGAAAGATAATCCTCCATTTTGTCTTCAACATATGCGGGTATGAAGTAATTGAAGGGGTTCAAAGCCACAAGAATAGGCCCAATATTTGTGTACACCACATCCCTCAAATAACGTTTTTTTAAACAAAATAATACCGACGCTTCATGGAGCTCTACGAGATTAAGAAGATCATCGAAATCGTCATTTAGGGCATCTTCCTTAGGAAACCATAACTTACTCGAATCACGGGGTAAATTATCAACATTTATAAATTCCGGCTGTGTTGCAGAAAAACTGTAAGTGTCTCTTCGCGGATCGTAATTAGTAATTTTCCCAACAACCCAATGATGTGCGGGTGTAAAGTATACCGCAAGAGTGCCTATGCGTCCGGCAGGCATACCACAAACATCGAATGTCTAAAAGGCAGAAAAGTAAAAAAAAAAAAAAAAGTACATTTATTTATTTCTTTATTTATACATGTAGGCAAGAATGTATTATGCACATATGAATATATAAATAAATATGACACGTAAGGAATAAAGCATGGCGATCACAGCGGCAATGGAAATAATAAGAAATAATAATCAAATAACAACACACGCCTTGGATAATCACAATAAAAATACCCCAATAGCAGAATGAATACAATAAAAGAAAAAAAGAAAAAAAGAAAAAGAAGGAGCAGAAGAAACAGTTTATTAGCCCTCAAGAATAAACGAGTGAATCTTAAAAATCAAAACCGTGTTAAAGTCAACAACAACAACAAAAATTAATTAATAAATAAATAGAAAAAAAAAAAACGATCCAAAATAATCCAAAGTGTCTATTTCAACAGGCAGCTCAATTCAGCTCAATTTTCATTTTTTTTTTCCCTCTTCTTTTCTTTTCTTCTTTCTTTTCTTTCAATTACGCGCTCTGATTATTCATTGTAAACATGTTTATTCGTATCCTCCGTTTCTTCTGCCACGCCACCGTCTTGAGACTGGGACAAAGGAATTTCTTCCCATTGCTCCCCACCGGGTAAATCGGTTTTTACCACACGCATTGGATCTTCCATTTCCCCTTGAATAATTGCGTAAACTTTTTCCGAGACGATTCGCCTTACGTCCCTAAGATTGTCAGGAATGCAGTAGAGCTTTTTTAAACTCACCCACTCCACGTCGAGACATAATCCCTTGTCTGGAACTATTTGTGCCGTAGAATCTGTGATGTTAACTTCAACGATGCAGCCGCTCACAACAAGCGCGGTCCCCAATCTCAGATAACAACAAGAAACTCCTATCAATAACTTTGTCTCTTTACGAGTGGTGGGAACTTCCTGCACCAGAGGGTGCAGACCAAGCGATTTTAGTTCAATATCGACATAGGTAGAACTATACATACCCTTTGAAGATTTGGTCAAAATCTCACACGCAAAGGGCGAGCGCAGAAACTTCATTTGCAGCAATTTATCAATGGATGGACTTCGTCTTCGTTTTTCCCTGACCCAATTTTTACGTTGTGGTTCATATTTTAACGTTTCCACTTCCTCTGTGACTTTCAACTCTTGTGAAATAATATTTTTTTGTACCATCGGCATCGAAGGCGCCGCCAGTCGCCCGTTATAGCGTCTAGGAAAGATCGTCCTTCCCTCGTTGCTGCTTTGATTGCGGAGCAGCCTCATAAATTCAACCAAAGGAACAGCATTTTTCCTGGAAATCGTTCGATTCTCAAACATGCAAAAAACCTAGCATTACCCTGCGGGCATAAAAATCCAAAAAAACAAACAACACAAAAATGCTCAACACAGCAGCAGCAGCAGGTAAAACACAAGAAACCAAAAGACGGGACAGAAAGCAATAAGAAAAAAAAATAATAAAATAAAAAAAAAAAAATATTCACTTGGGCCGCCGAACGGATCCTGCGGCTGTCAATAGGATTCACACAGGACGGGAATGAGAAGGGGTGAATGGAATGGGGGCGGGGGTTCGCCAAATCCCCAATGAGTGTTTACACCAAGTGCGCGCATATTTATATATGCACATTATGGTGGCTACTATCGTAACTTGATCGCTCCATCCGGATTGGGCGTGCATGTACATATACATACATAAGTGTGTGTGTATGTATGTATTCACAACCTACAAAGTGGAAGACTTTGGGCTCCTCCAGCCGCAAGACGCAGTCGCAAGGTAAGAACCACAAAGGGGGCAAGTGGGACGGCAGAAACAAAAGTAATTAAAACTCATCCAGAAGTTATCGGTTCCCTGATTGCTACCCTCGGGGTCTTCTAGAAGATTCATAAAATAGGAAAACCTCCCAAAGAAATATATTCTTTCAATCAGGATATACATGTATTTGGGCAGCCAGCCTTCCTCGCGAACACTCCGTTCACAAACTCCTAGTCTTCTGCTCGTCCACACACTTCATTTACTGCCAATCGCAAAACACACATCATAGAACCAAAGAACCATCACACAAAGCCGAGGCAAATAAATAACAATGGCGGAAATCACGACCTACACAGGCGCCTCGCACACGCACACACAGACCCTCTCTCCATTCACTCCACCTTTCACAAGGGTGAAGAAATGGGCAGGAAAATCCCGCCGCACAACGCATGCACGAGGACGCACGCAGAGGCACCGCCAGCCACGTCGCACCGCAACAAAGGGCCATGGGCACGGCACACCCACGGCCCCAACAAGAGGGACGGGACGCATCCAAGTACACGCCGCAGTCCTTTACTTCCCGCTTCACCGACGGATAGGCATCACGCCTCACAGCAGGCCGTGGCATCCCACACTCACAAATGAGGCACGGCGCACACAATCCGCTCCCCCGAGTGCACTCAGCAGGCCGGCGCCCAGTCACCCCTGTGCCCTCGCAATGGGGAACACAAACAATTGTCGTCGCGGACCATCGGTGCCCCTAGCGGGAAAGAAATTAGAAGAAATGGAGGCATGTCAGCAGAGAGACAACAAAAGGGACACGGAGACACACAATGACATGGGTCACGGCACAGACGGAAAGAGACGCAACGATTTACCAAAAAAAAGAAAACTTAAAAAAGAAAAAAAAAAGAAAAAAAAAAAAAAAAGAAAAAAAAAAAACGATTTGGCGGGAATTTCATTTCGTTTCCTCTGGAGTACAATACGACCGTGTTTTTGAGTTCATACATACTGTCCACACACAAAAAAAAAACAAAAAAAAACACATTGTTCCACGAGCCCACACAACATTCCTCACATTCCATGCGGCATCCGGCCTGCTCCTCCACTCCTCCTCTTGTGCAGTCCGTGGGACGCACGGCAATGAGGCCGGCACCGCGTGTGGGTAACAAAAGCAAAAGCAAACAAGAGGGGGAAACACATCGCTCATGACGGTGCGCAGCAAGCGACCATTTGGGGGAAAACACACAGGGGTGCTGGTTATTTCAACAGAGCACCAGCAAAAAAAAAAAAAAAAAAGAAATGAAATGAAATGAAAAAGTAAAAAAAACAAAAGAAATTTAAAAAAAAAATGAAATGAAAAAAGAAAAAAAGAAAAAAAAAGAAGTATTCTTGAAAAATTTGAGTGCGTAGTGCTGGGAAGCTGCACATTTGTTGTTCCACGAAAAGCCGCAATTCCACCCTCCCTCACACCTCAGCAGAGGGCCGCAGTGCCCCACAGCCCCAGAAGCAACAACAACACCCGAGACACACACACATGCACGGTGCTGTCACCAATTAGAGCCATGGCCGCCAACTCGCGGAACTCAAGCAAAATGTCGTGGTCCGAGGGTATTGTTGCGTTGAGCTCCGATGGAATCTTGGTTTCCCCAGGCGCTGTGCTCGGAGGAGCCGGTGCGGCATCAGCGCCACCCGACACGTTAGTGCTGCTGAATGAATCGGGGTCGCTGTTCGTGCCCACGCTCT